AAGGTCCTTAACCTTGCTAAACTGTGATGTTTTTTCTGTCACATAGGAAGAGCACCATCCACCCTGCCTTCCTGAAAGGGGCTTGGGTTTCACGTGAGAGTGTGCTCTATGCTAACCACATGTAAGATATTAATATTTTCATATCTGGAATCAAACCCAGTTTTCTGAGGTGGCTGCCTTTGATTTCTGTCTTTAATTGGATGCTATTTTACTTTTCTATTACTGAGCAAGTTGTTCTTGTTTGTATGGTGAATGATGAAAGCCTTATTATATATAATGATAATAAACACTATTCAGCACATGATATCTTGCCAGACCTTGTAGTATTTACTTTATTTACATTATCTCATTTTAATTCTCAGAAGAGCTCTTTGAGGCCCGTATTGTTCCTCATTCCACTGTTGATGAAACTGAGCTTATAAAGGCAGTGGTGAAGAGGCCAGAATTCATCCTTCATTCTCTGATTCCAGAATCCACATTTGTGATTGCAGTGAAATGCTGGCTGCTTCTACAGAGTTGACAGTAGTACCATTGCCCTTCAGGATATTGCAAAATACTGGGAAATGAGAAAAAGTAATGCAAGTTACACTGTGAATGGCAGAAAGTGGGGAACATTTAGAAATTGCTTTTAGAAATGGTTCATTCTTATTTTCCCACAATTTTAATAAGCTTCCTAATTTTGTTCTCAGCCTAAGAAACAGCAAAATAAGAGGAGGATAAGCAAAGGCTGCAGGCTTTGACAGTGGCAAAAAAAATAGATGTTCTCTAAGACTCCTTCAAGTTCTAATTTTCTGAGGGTCAACAGCTTTGATGGTAACCAAGGAGACAGAGTCACTATTAAAGCCAGACACAAGAACATAAAAAAGCACATCAGTCTGAGGCCATTTGATGAAGTACATGTGATGACTTCAAGCCACCAAGAAAAACTTGTAGTATATTCATCTAAGTTCAATTTTGTTTTTAAGAAATAGCTTATATATTTTGGAAAAGTTTCATTCAAAATGATAAAGGTGAAGTTTTATGGTTTAAAGATAACCTTTATGGAAAAAGGTGTTTGTAATAGCCAATGAGGACAGTAAACAGGCTGGAGCCAAAATCAGTGGTTGTAACTTTAAATAGACAGAGTTGTTATGCTGATAAGTTCTGCTTTTTACCACTGCTCTCTTCATTGGTTGCTGACTAAGAAGTGTCTTTACCCACTCACTCCATGATGTCAGCTGGCAATATGGGACATGCTTGTTCAATTCAAACTCAGTATAAGCTGCTATAGGACTACATAACCTTTTTTTTTGTTTTTATTTTTTTTTTTGGTGGAGTAAAAGAGTATAATGGGAGGGCCATTGGGCTTCCCAAAGGAAACGATTCTCAGACTGTAAGCTTAAGCATGGAAGAGTATTCTAAGCAGAAGGAATACCTTATACAAAAGCCCAGAGGCCAGAGAGCAATGTGTAGTTGGGAAAATTTAAAAACAATAATTTAATTTGGTCTTCATACTGACTGTGAGTCAAGGGATAAAGAGAGGGTTCATGGGCCTCCCTGTTGGCGCAGGCAGTTGAGCGCAGTGCTGTGAAGCTGTCTGCAGCCTCTGCAGTGCAGGTTCGATCCTGGCTGGCCATGGTGATACCCACATGGTGCAGCAGACCTCTCCTGTCTCACCCACTGCTCCCCTCAGCAGTGTATTTCAGTCAATCTGCCTGTTCTGTTCCTCACTCTGTCTCTGGTGAATCCTCTCACCCTCCTGCACATCTGGCCTGTACCCTGGTTCTTGTATATATAAATAAATAAATCTTTGGAAAAAAGAGCGAGAGAGGGTTCATGCTGGTGCTAGAGAACAGATAGGGAGTAGCACAGATTGAGCAGGGCCTTATGTGCATGTAAGAGAAACTGGACTTTATCCTGAGGAACAACCAAGGAATTTTGAGAGCTTTAGGCAAGGCCCCTGCATACCCCTGCAGCTCCTGTTGTTCTTCCCTCTCTCTCACTGGTCATGATGACTTACCATTGTTCCTGCAAAGGCCAGGGTCATTCTTGTCCTTAAATCTTTACATTTACCATTTTTTCCTGCCTGGGATGTATTATAAAGATTATTTTGGTTGCAAGTATACTACTTAATTAGAGTAGCATGAGCCTAGAAACAGGGACATAAGAAACCGATACAGTAGTCTAAGTGGGAGGAGACAGTGGCCTGACCTGGGAGAGTGGCAGTGTGGACAGAGAGCCATGGGCAGATGTCTGGGATATTTTAGGAGGTGGAATGGACAATTTCCAGCAAGTGATTGACTTGTGTGGCAAGAATGATACCTCAGGCCATTAATAGTCAAAGGGATAGAGCAGCAGCTTGGTATGGTCTGATTTCCAGTGATCTACCTCATGATATGTTTTGGGACCTCACTGCCACACTGGAACGTAAGCTGCCTGGATTTGCTCGCTGATTGTGATGAATAAACTTATAGGTTTCAGCTGCAGTGATGCAACCCTGGTTTGGCCTTGTTTATTGATGGCCTTGTTTATGTATAATCTTAACATTTATGATTATGTGACTATAAACTAATACATAATAACATGTTTTCTTATGAGCATAATGGAATAAATGAGGCAAAAATCAGAGTAAATGACCAAGATGATCATGATCAAGTAGTTCTTATTAAGAACCTTTTTATGTATGGCTTAGGTTTCCATATGCAAAGTCCTTTTAACAAATTTGGCTTAAATGATATGCCCCTGAGTAGAGATCCTTAACTCACTGCATTTGTTTAAACCCTTATACCTAGATGTTCCCAAGCCAGGCCCCCAAAGAACACTGGACTCCTACTGCCTAGAGCTTTTTTGTTTACATTTGCTACTATAGAGATTTGGTTTGTTTCCGAAAGATGCATTTTAACATTTGTGTGGTAAGCCACATTTGTTATATTTGAACCATGTGTGACGCAAGGGAGGAGGGTAACCACTTGGCTTAGAGAGGGAAGGGTGACTCTTTGGGTTAGCAGATATACTTCTGCCAATTTAAAGTGAGCAAATTAGATGTAGAAGGTGGCAAAAATTAAGTGCGTGAGAGAGAGAGAGTGTGTGTGTGTGTGTGGGTACATACATTTATACATGTGTATTTTTATATGTCAAAAGACTAATGTGAACATAAAGTCTATTAAACTGGATCATGCTGTTTTCTTAAATATAAAGAAAAAAATACTTTCTACATGTCCATATGGCTCACTTTGGACTGGGACATTTAACTCTTAACTGACCTGAAAGTATTTCTAGAATCAGGGCTCATTCTTGTCTTGTTATGTCTTCAGCTATATAAATGGTAGGGAACCAAATAGAGACTAGAGAAAGGACTTTATGTTGACAGTGAAATGATTAATAACACATGGGAAAACTGTGATCCAGAGAATTTGATTTGTCCATGCCCCCAATAAATTTATTTCTTCATTCAATAAACATATGTTCAGTAAGGGCTATATGAGTATATAGCCTAAAACTTAGCTTATAACAGTGTACATTTATTGTCTCACATTTTCTGTGGGCCAGGAAATCTGAACATGGCTTAGCTGGGTTCTCTGTCTCAAGATCTCTTACATGCTGCATTTAAGGTGTCTGCCAGGACAGGTCTCATCTGAAGGCTCCACCGAAGAAGGATCTACTTCAAGTTCACATAGTTGTTGGTAGGATTTAGTCTTTGTAGAAATCTTGATTTTTTTGCTGGCTATTGGCTGGGGCCCACTCTCAGTTCTTTGTAACATGGCCTCTCTGACATGGCATATCAACTCATGAAAGTGTATAAGCGAAGAAGGCAGTAGAGAGAGTCTTTTACAAGACAGAAGTCTTGTAACCTAATCACGAGAGTGGTATCCCATCAACTTTACCACATTCTGTTGGTCAGAAGTAAGTCACTAGTCCAGCCCAAGCTGATGGGAAGAAGAATACACAAGGACATGAACACCAGAGGATCTTTGGGGGCGTCTTTGAAGTGTCAGCAGGGCCTTGGTCCTTTTGGAGGCTCATGGGGGAGAATCAGATTTCTTTATTCTCAGATATAGTTTTTCTACAACACCAAACCATCTGATTGGATGATTATAAAACACCAGTATATTCACTGTGGTAGGCTGAAAAATAGACCTTTAGAGATGTCTGTGTTATGACCCTCAGAATCTTTGAGTTCCATGGTCTAAGGGACTTTGCAGAAGTGATTAAGATGTGATTTTTGAGAAGGGGATATTACTCTAAATTGTCCAAATAAATCCAATACTCTTTTAATGGTCCTTATAACAAAGAGGCAGGAGGATCAGTCAGAGAAGGTAATGGGATGATGGAAGCAGAGGACAGGAAGGACACATGATGATGGAAGCAGATTCTGAAACATTGTGGCCCCAAGCCAAGGAAAAGAGACAGCTTCTAATAGATGGAAAAGGTACGGAACAGATTCTTCCCACAAGCCTCCAAAAGGACCAAGGCCCTGCTGACACTTCGCTTTAGCTCCATAAGACTAATTTAGTACTTCTGACCTCCTGAACTGTTAAATAATGAATTTATGCTGTTTTATGCTACTAGCTTTGTGGTTATTTGTGGTGAGGAAATGTCCTCACCAAAGGACCTTGGGGAAATCCATTTTGTATAGCTTATTAAGGAACCAGAGGAGGCAAGAACTTTTCCTGTCTTCTAGTGACACCGAATATAACTTATATATTGTATCTTCTCTGTTTTAAGAAAATTGTCCCTAGTTTTCTTTGGTGCTAAATTCTATCAATATTGAACAAGTAAAATTTATTTTCGGGTTAGTTAAAGGTGGACCTGGGCCTTACTTACTCCTCAAAATAAAACAAAAACATGGCATTTAACAGAGGATGCTAAGACTTCCATTAAAACTTAATACTTGTTTTTTATTTGTACCTTAGGAGTGGAAATATTGACAGAGATGAAAGTACCTGGCACAAACCACTTTTCCTTCTTGGTGTTTCACAGCCAGATGTTGTGAAATTCTTTTGTTTTTCTTTTTTCTCTAGTGCCTGGAAACCTTGGCTGCTACAAGGATCATGGAAACCCACCTCCTTTGACTGGTGCCAGTAAAACATCTAACAAACTTACTATACAAACCTGCATCAGTTTTTGTCGGAGCCAGAGGTTCAAGGTAATGACTCTATGGCTATATATCTGTTAAAGACCATAAAAATGTAAATGCATTTTGCTGAGATAAATTAAAACTATACTTTAAAGAATCTGTCAAGCCATACAGTCCTACTTTTCTGCCAAGGAGAAGTTGGAGGAGGAGTGAAGCTTGGGATTAAGGGGTGTGAGACAGCGTTTTTGTCCAAAGTCTGATAGAGAAGGGGAGGAAAATCATAATGTTTATACCCCTATCTGGTATCTGACAGTTATATACTTCCTTGTACCCCTTTTTATGATGAGCAGGGACAGCTCTGGCTTCACAGAGAATCTGGGAATAAGCCAAGGTAGTGGTTACACTCTTGATATATTCCTAGCCTGGACACCAGTCTAATTTTTTTTTTTTAATGGGAGATCTTACTCGCAGCGTCTCCTCTCCGCCATGTTGCTCTGCCCCCCCTCTAATTTTTTTTTTTATTTCTATCCATTCCTTTACTTGAAATTCATTTTTTGACCAATAAGTTTCAATAATGCTATTGTTTGTTATATCAAAAAAAGAAGGAAGAATCCTTCCTTATTCCCTCTCTTCCTTCACCCTTCCTTCAGTAAATTTAATCAAAAACCATTAATCAGGCACAAGCCAGAAGAGTAACTTGGCACAGGGTTCAGGACCTATGTGATACAGGTGGCTTAGCAAGGTATTTGACCCAACATGACGAATGACTGCTTGATTGCAGTGGGATTGAGCATATAAGTAAATATATGCTCACTGTTGAAGAAGGGAACCAGGGAAAATTGGAATGAATTTTTGGATAGGTTTTGAAGTAACTAGTATAGTAGGTATACATACATACATATAGAGGGGGCGGGGAGGGTGGTATAGAAAGAAATACAAAGTGTTTGTGTGTGTGTGTGTGTATATATATATGTATGTATGTATACACATTAATATCTTAGATCTGTCCACTGACAGGGTCTGGAAACAATGACACATTGGTACTACAGAGCATACCTAGCATTCAGACATTGATTTCAAGCTGCTTTTCTCCACTATAAAGAACAGATCTCTTTGTTGAAAATTACTGATTCTGGGACTGGTTCTGAGAAAGGATAAGCTTGAAACATCTTGTACAAGAAAGAAAGGAATGATAAGGACTTCTCAAGACAGAGGACCTAGATTGAAGGGGCTCTCACTGATTAAAGCTAACATAATTTAAGCTTTAAAACAAATAATGGCAGTGAAAAATAAACCTCACTCGATAAGGTAAGACTATACATTCACACTGATATAATTACATAAATAAGGAGAAGGGAAGCATTTCCTTGCTGAAGAATGCCAACAAATAAATGCAGAAGGAATGATAGAATTAGAAAATTCACTTTCGGCAACCATTATAGTAATAAAATGTGCACAGAACAAATACTATGATATATAAATATCTTGAATCTTTATCAACTACTGGGTAAAATTTGCATGAGGAACAGGATATTTACATAGCCTCAAAACTCTCCCTGGAACCTTCCTGGTGGCCTAGGGGTTAGTCTTAGCAATATCACCCCCACAGCCTGAGTTCCATCCCCAGCCAGGGAGCTAACCCACATATGGCAAACAGACCTCTCCTGTCTCACCTGCTGCTTCCCTCAGCAGTGTATTTCAGTAGAGCTGCCTGTTCTGTTCCCCACTCTGTCTCTGGTGAATCCTCTTAACCCCACGCTGGTCTGTACCTCAGTTCTTGTATGCATAAATAAATCTTAAAAAAATAAAAATCCTAGAAGATTTTTTTGAATAAATTGACAAGCTGATCCTAAAATTAATATGGAAAGGCAAACAACCTAATATTGAAAAAGATCAATTTTGGAGGAATCATCCTGCATGATCTCAAGATTTTCTGTAAAACTGTAGTAATCAAGAGAGATATTGGCCTACGAGTAATTAATCATACAGATGAGATGTCAACGAACAGTGACACAGGGGCCAAATCTTACCACCTACCTATTTTTTTTAAAGATTTATTTATTTATGCTTACAAGAGCTGGGGTACAGGCCAGAAATGTGGGGGGGTGAGAGGAATCACCAGAGACAGAGTGGGGAGCAGAACAGGCAGATTGACCGAAGTACACTGCTGAGGGGAGCAGCAGGCGAGTCAGGAGAGGTGTACTGCACCATGTGGGTAGCTCCCTGGCCCACTGGGGATTGAACTCGTGCTTTCAGTGGCTGCGGATAGCTTCATAGGTTGCATCTTAACCCCTTGCGCCACCAGGGAGGCCCCCACCTACCTATTTTTGTAAATAAAGTTTTACTGAAACATAACCATGTCCTTTCATCTACTCATGCTACAACAGCAAAGTTGAGTAGTTGAAAAGAAACCACATGATGCACAAAGCTAAAAACATTTACTCTCTGAACTTTAATAAAAGGTAAACTTTTCCAACCCCTGCTATGCATATCAACAGAACTGCACAATGAGCCCAGAAATAGACCTGCACTTATATAGACAATTGGTATTTTACAAAGATGCCAAGGTAATTCAGCTGAAGAAGGGATATAGATGAAATGTTCTAAAATAAAGTATAATGTTCAACATCACTAGTATTAGAGAAACACAGATTCAAACCACAGAGAATGACTAAAGTTTCAAATATTGAAAATGCTAAGAATTGGTAAGAATATGAAGAATCTGGGGTCCTCCCCCGGTGGCACAGGTGGTTGAGCACCACGCTGTGAAGCTGTCCGCAGCCTCTGCAGCACTGGTTTGATCCCTGCCATCTGGCGAGAGTCCCACATAGTGTGGCAGACCTCTCCTGTCGCGCCCGCTCCTCCCCTTACCAGTGTATTTCGTCAGTCTGCCTGTTCTGTTCCCTGCTCTGGTAAGTCCTCTCACACTTCTGTGAATCTGGCCTGTACCCTGGTTCTTGTATAAATAAATTAATTAATTAAAAAAAAGAATATGGAGGAACTGGAATTCTTGTAAGATACTGGTAGGAATGTAAAATGGTGCAAGTTTTTTAAAGAAGGACTTGAAGTTATAAAATTAAATGTGTCAGCTGTCCTGTAATTCAGCAGTTCCACATTCTAAATATTTACCTGAGAAATGAAAACCTATGTTCACCCAAAGACTTGTACATGAATGAATTATTTATAGCAGCATTATTCATAATAACTCCAAATTGTAAATAATTCAAATGCTCATTAACTGTTGAACAGATAAACAAATTATGGTATATCCATACTGTTGAATACTACTCAGAAATAAAAAGGAAAGACACAGTAAGACATACTGATATATAATAACAACTTGGGTGAATCATTAAAATATTATACTAACTGAAAGAAGTTAAACACAAAAGACTAGATACTGAGTTCAAAATGGATCTTTGGTCTAATTATAAAATAGAAAACTATAATACTTAGAACAAAGCAGAGGGGGGAAATCTTTATGACTAGTTTAAGTAAAAAGTTCCTAGGCATGACACAAAAGCACAATCCATAAATAAAAAATTGGTAAATTTTAATTTGGACATCATCAAAATTTAAGACTTTTGCTATGCAAAAGACATTTTTAAGAGAATGAAAACAGAAGCTATAACCTGGGAGAAAATATTTGCAAACTATATGTAACAAAAGATTTTGTATTTAGTTTATGCAGGGGACAGGGGATCTCTACTCAATAGTAAAATAAATAAATAAATGTGCAAAATACTCATTAAACAGATACTTCACCGAAGAGGATATACACATGGCAAATAAGCACATGAAAAAACATTCAACATTATTAACTATTAGGATGAATGTAAATTAAACTCACAATAAGAAACCACTATACACCTTTAGAATGGCTAATAAAATATACTGACAGTAACAAATTTTGACAGCCTCTAAAGTAACTGAGGCTCATACCATTGTTTTAGTGAATGTAAATGGTATAGTTGCTTTGAACACAGTTGGGCAGTTTCTTATAAATATCCAGCTATCATAAAACCCACTGTTCCCACTCCTCAGTATTTACCCTAGGAAATGAAAACTTACATTCATGTAAAAATCTGTGCACAAACATTTATAGTGGCTCTGTTCATAATCATGAAAAACTAGAAACAACCTGATGGATTAAATGTGGTACAACCATATGATAGACTACTATTCAGCAATAAAATGCAGTGAACTATTGACACATGCACCAATTTTGGTGAACTTTAAAGATATGCTGAGTGAAATAAGCCAGTTTCAGAAGGTCCCATACTATGATTCCATTTATATGGTATCTTAATCTTTTTTTTTTTAAACATTTATTTATTTATTTATGCAAGCACTGGGTACAGTCAGAAGCGCGGGAGGGTGAGAGAATTCACCAGAGCCAGAGCGGGGAGCAGAGCAGGCAGAAGGACCGAAGCACACTGCTGAGGGGAGCAGCGGGCGGCAGGAGAGGTCTGCACGCCATGTGGGACCCTCCTCCGGTGGCCGGGGAGCAGCCAGGGATCGAACCGGCGCTGCAGAGACTGTGGGCAGCTTCGCAACCCAGCGCTCAACCGCTGCGCCACCGGGGAGGCCCTATCGTATCTTAATCTTTCAGGCTACTGTAACAAAAATACCATAGACTGGGTGGATTAAACAACAGACATGTATTTCTCACAGTTCTAGAGGCTGAGAAATCTGAGATCAAGGTACTAGAAAATTGGGTGTGTGATGAGGGCTAATTTCCTGGTTCATTGACAGCCTTCTTGGTGAGTTCTCACAGGGTCCAAGGGACAAGAGAGCTCTCTGGGGTCTCTTATAAAAGGGCATGAATCCCATTCATAAAGGCTCTGCCATTATTACCCAATCAATCCCCAAAAGCCCCATCTCGAAATACCGTCACATTGAGAATTAACTTTCAACATATAAATTTGGGGGAGATTCAGAATTTAGTCTGTAGCACATGACAGTCTTGAAAAGATAATCAAACAGTCTCCAATTTAACAGTGTTTCAACCCACAATTTTTTTTACTTTATTATGGTGTAAAAAGTAGACATCATTCTGTTTTTCACTTTCACTACTGTACTCAATAAATTACATGAGCTATTCAACCCTTAGTATAAAACAGACTTTGTGTTAGATGATTTTGCTCAAGTGTAAACTAATGTAAGTCTTTTAAGTGCATTTAAAGTAGGCTAGGCTAAGCTATGTTGGGTGGGATATTGGTTGTATTAAATGTATTTTCAATTTAGCATATATTCAATTGATGATGGATTTATTTGAATGTAATCTCATAAATTGAGTCAAATCTTTTCTATAGCAGTAGAAAACTAATTAGTGGTTTACAGGGGTTATAGGAGGGAGGTTATTGGGGTGATGCATTTGTTCTGAATCCTGGTTATAGTGGTGGTTGCACAAATCTATACATGGATTGACATTTATAGAATAATATGCCATATAAATGCTTTTACTGTATGGCAATATAAAGAATAAAGTAAAAATTTTAAATGGGGCCTATAATGATTTTGCTGTGAAGACTAGCTCTAAAGAACTTACTACCTAGTACATAGTAGATATTCAATAAAATCAGCTATTATCATTAATGTTTCAACTTTGTGGGGACCACTCTCCTTAAAACTTACTTAAATACAATAGAAATTTAAAACACTTAAAGGTAAGCTCACTGAAGGAGAAGTTATTGGCCAGTATGAAGTAGAATATTATGAATGCAGGACAAAGGAGAGGTCCCAGGGAATGGTAGGCTGGAAAGACAAGGCTCTTTGCTTACTAGGGTCAACCCTGGTAGAATCCTTCAGGCCACCTCACCCTCCAGACTGATGCTTACTAAGTGATGCTTCTCTGTTGTCACAGTTTGCTGGGATGGAATCAGGCTATGCTTGCTTCTGTGGAAACAATCCTGATTACTGGCAATACGGGGAGGCAGCCAGTACCGAGTGCAACAGTGTCTGCTTTGGGGATCACACTCAGCCCTGTGGTGGTGATGGCAGGATCATCCTCTTTGACAGTGAGTATGCCCCAAGTGCATCACTGCCCAAGGCACAGGAGTCCCAAGGGAACAAGCTCACTCACCCTTCCTTCCTTCCATTTATTCATCCATTCAGTTGGTCTTAAAGGAAAGGCCTTCAGCTTTTCTCCATTGAGAATAATATTGGCTGTGGGTTTGTCATATATGGCTTTTATCATGTTAAGATATGTTCCTTCTATCCCGAGAATTTTAAGGGCCTTCATCATAAATGGATGTGGAACTTTGTCAAATGCTTTCTCAGCATCTGCTGATTTGATCATGTGGTTTTTCTTTTTCTTTTTGTTGACGTGTTGGATTACATTAATTGATTTTCAGATGTTGAACCATCCTTGTGCCCCTAGAATAAATCCCATTTGATCGTGGTGTATTATCCTTTTGATGCACTGTTGGATTCTGTTGGCAAGGATTTTATTGAGGATTTTTACATCAGTGTTCACTAGGGAGATTGGCCTGTAGTTTTCTTTTTTTGTGTTGTCTTTGTTTGGTTTGGTATTAATGTAATGTTAGCTTCATGGAATGTATTTGGTAGTATTCCTTCTTTCTCAATTTTTTGAAAGAGTTTGCGTAGGATAGGCACTAGTTCATTTCTGAACATTTGGTAAAATTCATCTGTGAAGCCGTCTGGTCCTGGGCTTTTGTTTTGGGGGAGTGTTTTCACTACTATTTCAATTTCACTGCTTGTAATTGGTCTGTTTAGGTGTTCTGTTTCTTCTTTATCTAGCTTGGGATGATTATATTGTTCTAGGAATTTGTTCATCTCTTACAGATTGTTGCACTTGTTTGCATATAAGTGTTCATAGTAATCTCTGAGTATTCTTTTGATTTCTACTGAGTCTGTTGTAATTTCTCCTCTTTCATTTATGATCCTATTTATTTGTGTTTTCTCCCATTTTTTCTTTATGAGCCTGGCTAGAGGCAATGTAATATTTTTTTTGAATGTCACGTGCTATGTGTAGAGGAGCCGTAGAGGCTGCAGTAAAGAGTATTTGCACATGGAAATGGACAAACTTGTTTAATGTAGGCATCATTGCTGTTCAGTAGTTGAGCTAGGTTTGGGTATATTGTTCTATCAGTAGCCTCAGTGCATATCAAACTTCAGATTCCTCCAGTGAGGGAATGCTGTTACCTTGTGCTTAGTGTAGAAACTGGGAGACTAGTGGGTTTTTGGGTTTTTTTCAGTGTTCCATTTCCACCTCAACTTTGAGCAGTTCCTACAAGCCTGTGCCAAAGAAGGGACCTTTCTCCACATTTTCTCCCCTCCCTCAATGGTGGACTGCTTTTTCTTGTTCCTTGATGCTATGCTCCTGGTGAGGTCAGCGGGGTTCTCTGTTTTCTTGCCTGGTCCTCAGTCTTAGACAGGACCAGTTGCTGGGCCTCAGAGGTAGCCTTTTCAGCGTTCCTACATACTCTTCCTCTCTCAGGCAGCCAAATACTGTATTTGATCTGTGATGACTCTGGGGAAGGAGACAGTTTCCTGTTCCTCCACCAGGGGTAACAGACCTCTGTTTTGCATTGTTGGAGGGTCCTGGGATTCAAGGCAACAAGGTACTGCTGAATTTTACCCTTACTCTTCCCTCAGAAGCAGTGGATCTTTGCTAGTTACTTTGGTTGGAAGGAAAGAGTTTCATACTCCTTTTCCAGAAGCAAATAGGTTCTGGTGACTCTGGGAGCAGGAGGGTTTGCTGCCTCTTTCCCAGCAGCTTGAGGTTTTTGCTTCCTTAGAGGGGAGAATCGGGCGGTGGGCAGTGTTTCATCCTTGTCTCCCAGCAGCAGCCAATCACCTCCTACATCTGTGCCTCCAAGGGACTCTTTGGTCTCCTGCCTTCTCGTAGTCATTCTGTTGGGCACTGGGCAGAGACCTGCACAGAACTGCTTGCAAGTGAGCACAGATTCCTGTGTCCTAGACTGAGAAGCTAGCACACACTCAGCTATTCAGTTGCTTTCTTCTTTCCACTTTAATAGTGGCCATCATTCTGCTTGCGCTCTGTCAGAGATGAAACACTTTGTCTGGCCTGGCAGTCCTTGAAGAGCTTCTTACTTTTTTTTTTTAAAGATTGATTGATTTATTTATACAAGAACCGGGGTACAGGCCAGATGCATGGGAGGGTGAGAGGATTCACCAGAGATAGAGCGGGGAACAGAACAGGCAGACTGAGGAAATACACTGCTGAGGGGAGCAGCAGGCAAGGCAGGAGAGGTCTGCCGCACCATGTGGAACCCTCGCTGGCCGGCCAGGATCAAATCGGCACTGCAAAGGCTGTGGACAGCTTCATAGCACTGCACTCAACCACCTGCGCCACCAGGGGAGGCCCGAGCTTCTTACTTTTTAGCATTAAATTTTTTTGGTTTTCTTGAGACCAGTTTTATGGATTGAAGAGAAGTTTTGCGCTTTTTCTCACTGTTAGGATGGAAACAGCATTCTCTTACTGTTTTCTACACTCTGAAGGAAAATGAAACTCCCCCAGAGCCTGCTTTTTAAATCCCAGCCCTGCACTCCCTCTCTAGGACTTTAATTTCCCAGATCTTGTTCACATTTTTTTGGCATAAGATATAGTGAAGTGCTTGTATCCCCTCCTTCAAACCTACTGATCAAAAATGGGAGTCCAGAGAAATCAAAAGTGCTTAGTACAGACTCATCAGAACTAGTGTTTCCTCTTTGCAGAAAGTCACTTCCTATGCCACAGTTTCCCACTTGAAAAATAATTGTGGGCTTGGGCCTCCCTGGTGGCACAAGGGGTTAAGATACAACCTATGAAGCTATCCACAGCCTGTGCAGCAGGAGTTCCATCCCTGGTCAGGGAGCTACCCACATGGTGCAGCAGACCTCGCCTATCTCACCCGCTGCTCCCCTCAGCAGTGTATTTCAGTAGATCTGCCTGTTCTGTTCCCCACTCTGTCTCTGGTGAATCCTCTCACCCACCACACCTCTGGCCTATACCCCAGTTATTGTATGCATAAATAAATAAATCTTTAAAAACAAAAATAAGTGTGGGGCCTCCCTGGTGGTGCAGGCGCTTGAGTGCAGCACTGTCCACAGCCTCTGCAGTGCTCGTTCATTCCCTGCTGGCAAGAGAGATACCCACATGGCAAGCAGGATGCCCATATCCTGTCTCACCCACTGCTCCCCTCAGCAGTGTATTTCAGTCAGTCTGCCTGTTCTGTTGCCTGCTCTGTCTTTGGTGGATCCCCTCACCCTCCCTCACATCTGGCCTGTACCCCGGTTCTTGTATAAATAAATAAATCTTTAAAAAAAAAAAAGTGTGGGCCTTCCTGTGAGCATTGTATTTCTGAGCAGCTATAAAGCCCTCTGTTTATGACTTTTCCTCTTTGTGTCTCCCCTACAAATAGGTCCCAGGGTTTTCATATGCTTTGCCTCATCTATCCTCACATATTCATGCACCACAAGAGCAGGTGGTAGTCTCTCCATCCCCACAACTGAGAAAAGTGAGAGGCCTGGAAGTGAAGTGCAGTCCCTGGATCACATGGCCCAGCTGGTCCTGACCCCAGACTCTGTGACTCCAGCCCGGCCCCACCTAGCCTGTACCACTCACTGTGCTGTGTGCTAATTCTAATGTCTCCTGGGCATACACATAAATAAGAAAAAAGCCTCCACAGTCATTTGTTCAGGATTTAAGCAATTCATTTGTGATTTGATCCTGAAACATAAGACAGGCTGGTTTTATAGACAAAAAACAATATCCCAAATTGGATCACATTAGTTAGGAAGAGTTTTGTTTGTAACAGGTTGGAAAGTGAGCCCTGCCTCTGAGTCACAGACTAAGGACCCATGTCCTTTTGTCTCCTGCAGCTCTTGTCGGCGCCTGTGGTGGGAATTACTCGGCCATGACTTCAGTCGTCTATTCTCCTGACTTTCCTGACACCTATGCCACAGGGAGAGTCTGCTACTGGACCATTCGAGTTCCAGGAGCCTCCCAGATCCACTTCACCTTCACCTTATTTGACATCAGGGATTCCGCAGACATGGTGGAGCTGCTGGACGGCTATACCCACCGCGTCCTGGTCCGTTTCAATGGAAGGAACCGCCCACCTTTGTCCTTTAACGTCTCTCTGGATTTTGTCATTTTGTATTTCTTCTCTGATCGCATCAATCAGGCCCAGGGATTTGCTGTTTTATACCAAGGTATGACTTTCTCACCCCCTTAGGGATTCCTCTTGCAAGTACCATGCTGTACCTTTCAAGACCTGGGTAGTTCTTGCTAAAAGGACTACTAGCTAGGAGTTACTGCTTCAACTCAGGAGGGTTATAATAATAACTGAAAGAAAGAGCTGAGATTGGGAGAACTAGAAGAAGTCAGAATGAAAGAGGTCATTTGGTTCATCCTCTGACCTCTAAATATCCCAACCAGTCCCAAAAGACTGGCTTCCATGTTTCTTCAGATGCCCCTAAGGGAGCCATACTCGGGCTCCCCTAACATTAACACATGTGTGCCTGGCACATCTCTTTGCGGTACGCAAGAAACATGGGAGATGTCTAAGACCTTTGTCCAATTGCAACAGCCTCGAGAAGAGTCTAGTTAGTATGCTACAGGAAGAAGGAGGGGGCCTCCCCGCCTGTGGGACGGTCTTGGAAAATAGGTAGGACTTGGGTGAATAGAGAAGAAGGAATAGGGCCTTTCCAGCCAAAGGAGTCATAACTACAAAGACTTAACAGTAGGAAAACAATAAAGCATGCTCAGGTATCCACGAAGAGATTAGAAGTTACTGGAAGTTGATAGCTCTTTCCTTCTGCCTCCTTCGGGGCCAGAGCCTGACACGTTCTGCTTTGGAGATAGTGGGAAGAATTGCACCCAGAATTGAAGTAGAGAAAACAGCCTTTTGTAACAAGTACTGCCTCCATCGCTCTTTATTATCTTCATCAACTTCCTCCCCCCAGTTAATTCCTTTTGACCTTCCAGCTGTCAAGGAAGAACCGCCTCAGGAGAGGCCAACTGCCAACCAGACCCTGGCCGAGGTGATCACGGAGCAGACCAACCTCAGCATCAGTGCTGCCCGGTCTTCCAAAGTCCTCTACGTTATCACCACCAGCCCCAGTCACCCACCCCAGACCGTTCCAGGTAGTAGTTCCCAGGCACCATCAAAGCGGGTGAAGAACTTGAAGGCAGTGCTCTTGGCATTTACAGAGAATGGGCACTTTTGGGTGTTTCCCATTCTGAAACAGGTTGGGGATGCTGGCTCTGTGACTTAAAGTTTGTCCTGTCCTTTGAGGGATACTTTATCATTAGCTTGAATCATTAGTCCCTAAAAAAAGAGCTCTCACCGCCGAAGATCCAGCATGTGTGCCTTTAACAGAGATTAATCAGCTAATCCAGTGTTTTCTCACTTTGAAATTATCTTTATAGACCCCAAGTTGTAGCTCTCCAAATTCATTAACATTTATAGGGCTCTTATTCATTTAAGATACATGCTTTCATGGTGCCAGGCATTGTTGTAGGCGCTGGAATATACAGTGAACTGAAAAAAAGCCCTAGCTAGCCTCCTGTGCTGATAAGTGAGAGGAGAAAGACAAGAAGTGAAATAAAGTCAGAGAGCAGTAAGTGCTATGAAGGAAAGTCATGCAGGGGAGGGATGGAGAGTGGGTGATGGCCTCGTGGTTCAAGCTGGCTGGCTTGGTTGGGTACAGACCTCCATTCTCTTTCTGCCAAGAAAGTCGAGCCTTTATAAGGTGGTTGAACTGCAGAGTGCCATTAGAGATTACCTGACCTAGAGGTTTCCACGTGTTTTTCCCCGGACACCTGCAGGACCCATCTTAGAAGGTCAGGGAGAAGAGCCCTCCAGTGCTTGCTCTACATCACTTGTTTGTATATCTGTAGGGTAAATGAAGTTGATCTGGATTTTATACCATTGGCCTTTCTGGCTATCTACTGAGGTCTTGATCTTGTTAACATAGAAGGCTTGTGGGTGGGTGAGATGTGTGTACCTGATTATGGACACCTGAGCATGGGTGTGTGCATGTACACATGCAAGTGTGCACACATGAGCCTAGAGATCAGGGGATATAAGGGCAGAGATGGCTACAGCAAAATGGCTACAAGAGGAAGGGACCACGAGAGAACGCCAGAGAAATCCCAGAGAAAAGAACATATAGAGATTCACAGAGGAACCAAGTTGCTGTCTCCCTTCAGCTTGTTTCCCCTGCTTATCATTAAAACTTGTGAAGATGATGTGAATGCCTCCAAAATTCTCCTTCAAATTGCTAGAACCAACGGTGAACCTACCCAGCCTGGGATGGTTGCAAACCAATATCCCAGTAGGGTTTCCCGGGTCACACATCTCATTCCTCTGACTAGGAAACTGAGGCCAAAACAGTTTATGTAACTCATCTGTGCTTTCCCAATGGTTCCACACTAGGGACAGTATGCATCACCCCTTTTGAATCTGACTTGAGTTTACTTGTGACCATACCACCTACCTCTCCCTAAGGAGGAGCCCTAGAGCAAGGTGGGTGCACAGAAGGCTGGGGGCTCCTTACCAGCCTGACTCTCAGCTGTGTTTGGTGGCTGCCCCCCACCTGCAGGGAGTTCCTCAGGCGGATCCACACCTCTGGGTTGCTGGTGTTCACTCTGGACTTCCAGCAGACCTTCTGAACACTGAGTTCCAACAGGATCATTAAAACTGTTTTTTGCATTTTTAGGATGGACAGTGTATGGCCTGGCAACTCTACTCATCCTCACAGTTACAGCCATTGTAGCAAAGATACTTCTGCACGTCACATTCAAGTGAGTATGAGAGAGCTGCCCATTTCCTGGAGGGGAAGGCTCAGAACTCCTTTTCTTACTTTGCTTTACTTGCCTGGGTACAATTATAGTATCAGAACATTCTAAAGCCTTAGTCTTAGGCAATCTGAGGCAGTAGATATTCCTCATTCTCTGCTGAGTGAAATGTACAACTGGACAGATCTCATTAGTGTTGGAGGGCTTTCTTTTTGCTCCAAAGGATACAATTTCAAGGAGGATAGAAATTGAGCATAAAAAGCATCGATTTTTTTTTTTTTTCTGGCTTGTGCGGCCCCTTAAAGAGATCTTTATGCAAAACAAAGAGTCCTAGGACAGTATTCAGACATATTTCCTGTTGCCTTCTAGAAATTGGACAGCATTCTTAGGAGTAGAATTCTAACATTTTACTAACTATTGCTTAATAGTTATTTTTAAACAGTTATTTAAGAAACTTAGAGAAGTGTCATCCTTCAAGTCTGACCAATTTGGAAAAATGTACTTCTTCCCTTATCTTATTGCTCAGGAAAGGGGTAATTGTTCATGCTACTCATGAACATGAGGGGAGCACGTTCTAATTTTTTTGGACCCCTACTCTGTCGTTCTGTCGTTCCAGCCCAGGTTCTTCTCTATTTCAGGGCCCTCCCTAATGTTGACGTCCTGTAAAAGACACCGTTTTCCTGACCTTGTCACTTGCCCTCTGTCACAAACAGTTTTATACATTTTAAATGCCACCTCCTGCCTTTGAGGTTTGTCATTGACCAAGTTAGGACCACCCATGGCCTCTGCACCCTGCACTTTACATTTTTCAGTGGAAATAATATCCTTATTAGCATTTACTGAGCTCCTGTTCGTACTCCATGTGCACATAGCTGTAAAGCAGGACCCACTTCATGCAGAATGATTTTGCCTTTATTCTGTTTTACCTAGGTGGGCTTCCAGGTAGAATGTCATTTGAAGAAAGTTTTTGTATTTAAAAAGAAAGAAAGAATCTTTCAGACCAGCCCTTTCCATATTTGAATATTCAGCCATTTCAAACTTTTTTGTTACACTGAGCTTGAATCTGCCCTGTTGCACACACTTTCCACAGGCCACATTTCTCCACTCAGTGATCCATCACATCTCTAAAAGCAGCTATTAGGTCTTTTCCCAAGGGCTTTCCGCACTGTGTAGCCCATTTAGTAGCTACAGGTGTCTCATGAGATGGCAGGTTGTTTGTGGCACTTTGTCCTACTCCATTTGAAAATGTTATTTTTGTTTGACAGATCCCATCGTGTTCCTACTTCAGGGGACCTTAGAGAATGTCATCAATCAGGGGCATCAGGAGAAATCTGGAGCATTTTTTATGAGCCTTCTACTTCAATTTCTATCTTTAAGAAGAAGCTCAAGGGTCAGAGTCAACAAGATGACCGTAATCCTCTTGTGAGTGACTAAAAGCCCCTCCACCCCTGTGCCTAGGACAAGAGGTACCTCTGAGCTCAAGGCTGCTAGGGACTACCTCTCCCCTGGTTTCTTCTGACCGGCTCCTCCCTGCCTTTCCCTCCACCCTTCAGGAGCACCTCCTTCGAACCCAGCCTGGAAGGGGTACCCTACTGCAGGGGCAAGCGTAGCCTGGATTCAACCTTATTCATCAGCTGCACTTAGGAGAGAGACTCTAGGTCCTAGGGCCCAGCCTTTCCTGCCACTCTCTCTCTCTCTAAAAAAGGAAGGGGAGTGTTAGGACAATGAGGCTGAGATGACAGAGGTGGTTGTGTCCAGCACTGGGCTCAGGTACAGTCTAGACAACAGTTGAGTGGCAGATAGGTATAGTATGCATTGAGTCTTGGTTGTTTCTTCTCTGTTTTGTCCACACACATATCACTTTCTCTCCGTCTGAACAGGGCCAGACAGGGAGAATTCCAAGGTTCTTTTGAGGGTTGGCCTGGCTCTATACTATTGGGCATTAGCACTCCAGATCCCTAAAGAGGGCTCATGTTCTGTGCTGACTTGAGCTTTACTCGCTGGGTGCTAGACAAGGATGAGCTTCCTCCATCTTTGTGGGGGGAGCCTATGAACCGTGTCTGGTGACTCTCATTCTCATTAAACCTGACACCTTCCACATACAGACTTCTTTTTTATAACTTCTTTCAGTAGCTTGGTGATCCCAGAAGAGCAAGCTTGAAAAGTGGTTTTATAAAACATCCATTCATTTATTCATGCCATGGATTTACTGAAAGCTTTTATAGGTGCTCAGTAACTCCATGTTGGATTGGATTTATCTGGCCCCTGAGCAGCTCATGGTCCTATAGGGCCTGACCAGGCCCCCATCTCTCCATGTTTCTCTAAGCTGACTCTCAGTTCAGAACAGGGAGTATAAATCTCATGGGCTAGCACTTAGGCAGCATTATGTAAGACACAGTGCCAGCAGTCTTTCCTTTAGTCATCTCTCATTTTAAAAGAAGATGAAAAACACCCTGAGGTCCATGCTCTCTGTGGCCCTCTCTGCCCCTTCTTATGGGCACAAAATGGGGTTAGAAATGGCTAGGTGGGGAAAGCCAGGATTCTGGCCCCTGGTCCTAGGCCCCCTTCCACTCAGATGGCAGGGGCAGGGACTGAACAAAGGGCTTGGCATAAGGGTGAGGAGGAGGGTTTGGGAACTAGAGACCCTTCAAGGATAAGCCTCCTAAGATTGAGAGCTGCAGCTGCAGTGGCCTCCCAGTGTGAGAATCAGCGCCATCTCTAATTTAGAAGTCTCCACCATCCAAAACCAGGCTTTGGCAGCAGCAGCTGAAAAGAGCAGCCTGTGCCTCCAGGCCTGAAGGTCAGGCCTGGACCTTTGTCAAAGTTTGACTCTCCCAAAGGTTCTTCGTCCTTGTTGTGCCTCTTGCCTCAGAGGTTCCCTCTTGGAACACTTGCCTGCCTTCCCCAAGCCCCTAAACCGCAGCCTGTTGTAGCCTTTCCTGGGGTTCTGCCACACTAGCTACAAGCCTGCTCCCAGCAAGACGGAGGGCTGTGTGGAGCCAGCCAGTTAGCATCTGCAGAGAAAGGTCATACTTGGCAACCAGGAGAGATACTAGAAGCTGTCAGAGATACTAGGGGCATTCAGAGGAGAGAAATGGGGCAGTAAAGTCCACAGGAGAGCAGGGGCATTGCCCCTGTCACCTTATGAGGGCAGAGAGTGCTCAGTTCTATCCTCAGGCTTTGATCTGGAAAGGGTGATTCCCATGCAGCAGCTGTCTGCCAACCCTGGGTCTGGAGATAGAAGCCTGACCCATACAAGGACCACTGGAAATGTACTGACATGTGTAGTCTTCCCTCCAAGATATTCCTGGCTTTTGTGGAATCTCCTTTCAAACACAAGTGTCAGGTGTGTGCAATCACAGAGGGCCCTGAACTGTGAATAGACCCATTCACAGCACAAAGGGAATGTGGAATTTGGCCTCAGGAAGGGGTTCATCCTGCTGAGGGGCAGTTGTTCAGCTGCCTAGGCTTATACTGATTACTAGTTTTTGCAGGATCCTGAAGGGCCACCAGTCCAATCCCGCCCACCTTTCACCTCTGGTTGCAGAGTCTAATGTCAAGCCTGTGTATTGGCTGAGACTGTAGCTAGAACAGTCGTCTCCCAGAGAGCCCCGAAGCACTGGTGATGCCCTAGTGCTCTCCTTCCTACTGGACCTTCCTGCTGGACTTGGCACCCTCAGTGCTGCCAGGATCAACTTACTATCTAGGGAGTGGGAAACCCAAACCAGTCTCAAGACAGCGTGGGAGGAGAGGACTGTAAATTGTCCCAGGCTGAACCTCCATAAATACCATGGCCACAGTCTGGCCATGTCCTTGGTCAGAACCTGTCAGCAGCACCCCACAGATGGTCCCCTGTGGCTAATGTAAACACCTGAGAAATAGATTGTTCCAGGAGAGTAAAGGTGTATTTCCAGGAGCACCGAAGGAGGAAGCACTTGATCTTCTAAGAAACTACTTTAAGTGAAAGTAGGTGTTGGAAGTGATTTGAAAGGGCTGACCCTGAGAAAAGTAAATTACAGCTTACACAGCAGAAGCTTATGTGAAAGAAGAAAGGGAGGGGCTTTGAAGACCACCATGGATGGCTGCTCCAAAAGCAATCTTCCCAAAGTCTCTGCCTTGAGGTGACAGAATGGAGGGGACTAGAAGCTGTTGCCTCAGGAACTGTCTGCCTTCTCACCCATTCGCTGCTGGTACCCATGCCTGCCTGCCTGCCTTCTCCACATGCGCTCCAAGGGCCAGGAATCTTGTTGCTTCCCTGGTGAATACATTTCAGCCAGCTGTGAACCTGGCCTCTTAACTGCACTTCACAGTATCCTTGGTCCCTCTAGAAGGCAGACGGGACTGCTCACGGTACCCCGTGCCTCTGCCATGTGTTCAGTCACTTGCAGACCAGAAGAGCAGGAATGAACCCTGGATGCCTTCCCCACTTCCGCCATGTCAGAACAGGGTTGAGGCCTCTCTTTGGGTGTGAGCAAGGTAACCCAGTTGCTTTAACTTCTGAAGTAGGCTCTGGCTCAAGATTCCAATGGGCCAGAAACCCACAAAGATCAAAGCACTAGCAAGTACAGCTGTCCCAGCCCTCAGGCCAAACGCGCAGGGCGTGCCTGGGCAAGGCCCTACCCACACATCTATTGTCAGCCCAAGGCAGAAGTTGGCCTGACCCAGCTCAGTGTCTGGCCAGGCCATCCTGACATCACGGGGCACCCAGGCCATCACCAAGCCTCCATGCGTCCTAGGCAATTAATCTTCATGAGCACTTGTAAGTGGATGGCTTCTGAGATACTGTCTACTTTGTCTGTTGAGGCCACCCCAGGTCTCCCACAGAGTCAGGCCAGCTCCCCCCTCCATAAGCCAGTCAGCTGGTAACCTCGCGGGTTTTAGAGTTCCTTTTTGGTGTTTGATGTCTGCTTTTGTTACTACCTTGGGAATTTTTAACCTTTTGTTTCCTCTGGTGTCTTTGTTTACCTTCCTCACTGTTCTACCTCCTGGCCAGGTCTCAGCTTAGCTGTCCTGGCATGGGGTGTTTTTCAACCTTCCAGCCATAGCTGCCTCCCCTCAGGCTGGATGGCTCAGGGGTGACGGGGCCTCACTCTGCCTACAGACCCCAGGTGGGCCCATCGCACAGGCTTTCTCTTGATGAGTTGAATATACTCAACAAGACAAAAGTGGAGTATGGAGGGAAGTCCAAGGTAAATCTGCTTCAGAAAGGATGTGTCTTCAGGAGCAGGTAGGGGGGGCTTTCCCTGCACACACTGGGAAGCTGATGTCTCGGGGTTCACAAAGCATCAAGACCTGCCAACATCCAACTCACTTTCCCGCGGGGATCTTGACTTTGGATAACAATGCTTTATTTGTAAATATGCTCTTAATATGCAACTTTGAGAATAAAATAGAAACATCGTGTATTTTAAAATATAAGATGAAGTGTGACGCACTGTACACAATTTAATATATATTTTTAGGATTTTGTTATTTAAGAAAAGGAATGTAATGGTACTTAACTTTTACAAAAGAGAGAAAAATGTTATTTTTACTGTCTGGAGAAATAAATATTCTCATTGTTGTAGAAACACCAATGGGCCCCAGATTGTCATTTGGATGGGTGCATTCTCATTGGGAGGAACATGTCATATGTTGGGAGACTGTGTGTTCTTCTTAACTCCGTGCAAATGCCAGGCCTCAACATTTGCCCTGATTTCCTGCTAGTGTCTCCAGTTTCTTCAGGTCTTGTCACGGTTTTGACACACAACCGATAAGATCTGAAAGAGTTGGAATTCCAAATCAACACTCTACACCCTGGAGACAGGGGCAAGGCAAGGGGAAGACCCAGGGCTTTGCACTCAGAAAGTCCTCAGTGTGAAGTGACCTTGAATTGGTCAATGCACATCTCAGCCTCAGCTGTTCCATTTGAAAAATGTAGTAACATCTGTACCCCAGAAGGTCATGAAGAGTGAGAAAATATATCCAAAGTGCTGATATAATTATCCCACTCTAATTCATCTTGCCTTTCAGAGCAACCAGTTTCTCCTCCCCCTCACCCTCCCCACACTGTCCTTTTCATATTACTAACAGAAGCTTCCTGCACGGTTACCTGCTCTACGCCCAGCACTCTCCTGATAGGTGCCAAGCGTGCTCTGACAACCCTTCAGCAGGTACTGTCCTGTTTTTGCCTATGAGGAGACCCAGGCTCAGAGAGAGGAGCATAGCATAGTAGTTGAGAGCACAGCCCTGCATTTAGCTCGCAGCATTCGCTGGGAAGCCAGGGAGTATAAAACAGGGAGCCTCTGAAGGATTTCTGCTGAGGAGTGACATCAGATTCCCAGTTTAGAATGATTTCTTACTTGTTCAGGGAAACAACTAGGGGTGGGGCAGGACTGAGGGCTCATAGAGACACAGGTCCAGAGGAAAGAGGTTGGGGGGCCTGGCCAGGCCCCCACGTCAGCATTGTGGAAGGAGAGGAGGACCCCATGAGAGAAATCTGGCCACGCTCATCAGCCAGGACTTGTGCTTGAGGCCAGACTGCCTAGGTTCACACCCCTTCCCCAACACTTGCCACAAGACCTTGAACCAGCCTGTGTGCCTGTTACCTGGCAGATGGGGACAATTATAGTGCCGGCCTCCCAAGCTATGATGAGTTATTACCAGTAATATTGTTTTCAATAAATGGTAGCTGTTCCTTGTTATTTCTAGAATGGGGTGGGGGGTGTTAATAACAAAGAAGTGTCTAGGATGACACCCAAGTATTCTGACTTGTTGGGGGAAGGGAGGGGCATTCTTTGAGATGAGAAATGATAGGTGCCAGGCAAGAGAGAGCATGTGCTGAATTCTGCTTGGGCTGAGCGGAGTGACATCAAGTGGAGTGAATGCTGTAGGACGTTGAAGCAGAGCTGTCCAGTGTGCAGTGATAACCTGACACCTGAGACCACAGAGGCAGCACAGTCCATGGAAACATGGGCATGGATGTCTTCCTGGGTGTGTCTGGAGTCATTCCAGAAGGCTCCTGAGGACAGTGTCTTGGGGCATACAAGATGAAGAAGAGCAGGCCCAGTGGCAGGAGAGGGTCTGCCCCAGAAGCCAAAGAACCTTCAAAGCAACCTTGTAACTTGACAGGTTCAGATACACACACTGCTGGTTCTGTGAGCCACTATTCCAAATGCTCAGGAGACAGTTTGCTATTCCAGCTGATTAAGGATAGAAGAAAAGGAGGTACAGACCAGTCCAACAAAAGAACATTTAAGCGCAGGGCCTCCCCTGGTGGCACAGTGGTTGAGCACTGGGTTGTGAGGCTGCCCGCAGCCTGTGCAGCGCCAGTTTGATCCGTGGCCACCGGAGAGGGTCCCACCAAAAAAAAAAAAGAACAAAAAAAAAGAACATTTAAGTGCAGACATGTTTCTCAGTGTTGCCTCATCCACTTGCTGCAGAGTCCCTGCTATGCTTGTTCAAAATGCAAGTTCTTGAACCCCTTCTCAGATTGCCAAGTCAGAAGAGCAGCTTCTGGGAAACTTCCTGAACAATGCTTTAGCTAAAAAATTTGGCAGTCATTTAAATTTGTTTGAGTTATTTGGTCAGTAGTCACCTCTGAAACCAATCCCCACCCCCCCCACACACACATATATAGCTTTGTAAGTTCTGACAGCAGTATATTTGCTAATTGATAGCAAAGGCTGTTTCATTCCAGAGATTCATTGCAGGACCGGAAGGGTACGGGGAGAAAGATACTCAGCACAGCAGTTATTCACCTTGACATGGAGCCTGTACCCGTTTACTGCTGTCTTCTCTCTGCTCAGCAGCCCTACAGCGTGTAGCTGTTGCAGTGTGACAGTACCTCAAAGACCAGCTTCATTTGAGCATTAATCTCCTCCAAACTTTTCTTCTTTTTCTCAGAAGCTCTTTCCTTCCCTGTAGGAAAATGCTTTTAATGGCTGGTGGAAAACGAATAGGGTGGCCTCACTGGTGAACTTCTTAAAGAGAGATTAGCCTGCAACAAAAAAATAGACACAGTCAGCATGTGTAGTCCTGCCTAAAGCAGGACCAGGAAGAGCCTCCAAACCCATCTGCATAGACTATACAGACCTTACTGACCTTGACCTCATCTCATTGTTCTCCCAAACCTGAAAAATTTGGACATTGTTCCACCCAGGAACTAGCAGCACCAGAGCAGGATCAGCTTCATCTTTTGTGAGGCAATCAAAGGCCCTTCGTTCTGTGGAGGCAAAAAGGGCTGGACAAGAGTGACCTTGTCTCTAAGCTTGGAAGTCACATGACCATCTCCTCTCCCTACTGAGCTGTGCGTGCCTGCAACTGCAGACACTCTGGGATGCAGAGAACTGGGAAGCTTTTGTTCTTCTGAGGCGGGGTTGGGTCCCCATGGGGGATTGTTTTTACTTGGCTAACAGGGACAATTTGGCGATAGAATATTTCAACCCCGAGAAGCAGCAACATTTGCTTGTAGCTGGAAGTCTTTCATTTCTGGTCTCCAGCTGTTGTCTGGAGCCGTAAGGCCCCCACTAAATGGGACTACGCCCAGCAACTGGGGGTAGGCAGCACCGGGCCAGGCTGGAAATGGATCAGCCTATGTCCAGGAGGCCCATTTCCAGGATGGCCTGGCAGCAAGAATGCTCTCAGCCCTCCTGGTAGTGGTCTTCGGGCTCTGGAAAGGACCTACTAGCTGTGGATGACTGGCCTCAGGGATTCTCAGGGTCTTTTTTTCCAGCAGAAAAAAAAGGAAAGGTCTGAAACAGCAAAGGCTTTTGCAACTGAAGAGCTTCAAATTTCACTCTTAGAAACATTTATCATTGACTATGTTAAAAGGAGGCCACTGAACTTTTAAATACTGGATTGAGAGTCTGCTACTTTACAGATTAATCATGAATATCTTTAATGAACTTGCTTTAGTTGCCAAAGGTAACAAGATTTTATCCCACTTAAGGGGTCTTCAAATGCCATATTTAGTCAATATGGGGCAGCTTTTCATGAGCCTGGGGTGAGCCAAGGAAAATGCTTTTGATTATGAAATAACTAATCATGATCATCATGTTAATGGCAGCTGCTATTTCTGCAGTACCTATATGTGCCAGGCACCGTGTCAAGCATTAGAAGATACTACTGATTCATCCGTGGGACTACCCAGCCTGGGACCCAAAAGCCGGCAGGGCCAGGATTCAGCTGCCTCTGCCAGCTGCAAAGCCAGGCTTCCTTACTCCTGTTGCTCTGCAGGCCTCACCCACCCAGGCAGAGCGGTGGATTGTGAGGGAAGTCCCTGAGGCCCCCAAATATCTCATCATTCAGGTTATGGCCTCCAGATAGCTCAGGGAAAGTATACATTAATTTGCCTGAGATAAGAAGGCATCAAACTTACACTTTACTATTTGAGAACAAGGATCGTGTTGAGGATCAGATAAGTGTTACTAAGCTACACACACATACACAAAGACCCCACCTGCAAAAATTTGCATAGACTTTTGGAGATTCAGAAACACCTCCCTCCCCTGTCCCTTTCATGCTGCATTAAGCAATATTACCTGAAAGTTAAAACTAGGTCAAAAGAGGACAACAAGAGTAATAATAATAGTAATCATGGATTTTATTAGTCAGTTAGGCTGGGAATGGATAGGGGGCTGTCAGCAAAATCTTTCTGTAAAGAACTAACTACATAGTAACTGTCTTAGCCTTGCAGGCCATGCTACCTCTGGTTCTCCTGTCTCTGTACTTGGCTCTACTCACACTGATTGCCTGGGGTTGGGAAGACCTCTATTTCTAGAACCACGGCTCATCCGCTGGACCCTCAAGGATCCCACCACTCCAAGTCCGGGTACCATCTGGCAACTCCAGAGAGGTAGGAGATCGGTGGAGGCACCTAGACCCTCATGCACGCAGCCACAGACAACGCATCAACAATCAGCATGTTGTATCCCATAAGACTTTGTTTACACACACTGAAACTTGAATTTTATGTAATATCCACATGCCACCAAATACTTCTCTTTTTTTACTTCCCACCCTATAAAAAAATGTAAGAACCATTCTTAGCTCGTGGGCCATACAAAAACAGGTGGCAAGCCCACAGGCTGCAGATTGCTGCCCCTGCCCTGCACTACGCTAACCACTTTTCATACATCATGTTCAGTGTCCCAACAACTGTGTGGACGGGGCATTGTTACTACCCCCATGTGCACAGTGAGGACACAGTGAGGTTAAATAACTCACTCAAGCGTAGGAGTCAGCACTTGACCCCTCCCCCTAAGCCTGTTTGCTTTCCTGAGACACAAGATTGGGTGAGTTTAATTGCACAGAAAGGGAAGAAAAAAGATGCTAGTGGAGCAGAAAGGGGAACCCTAATGCCCTGGCAGCACTCTGGGCCCTGGGATTATAAGGGAGGGCCCGGGAGAGGCCCTTTCCTCCCCTGTCTTTGGGTCTTTGCTTGAATGGTCTGCACTGCAGGGGAGGGGGACTGGTTTCCTGAGCAGTTCCTCCAAGGACAGAGCCCCCAGATCCAGGACAGCTGGTGGCCCTCACATTGTTTGTGTCTCCCAGGTTCTCTTAATTATAACCAATTTGCCACCCTCAGCAATTCCTTGTTCTCCTTTGCTAATACCCATGAGTTGGAACTGTCAGCCGGACGCCCAGCCAAACGCTCAGCTGAAATCACTTCCCTTTCCCATGCAGGAGCCCTGGTCTCTTAGAAACTTGCCTTTCTTCTCAGTCCTGAGAGGCCCAAGAAACCGGCGAGACAACCCTTTTGCATACAGCCTTGCTTGGCTGAGATTTACCATCCTAATATCTCTTAGCCAAGGGGGAGACAGAATTTGCTTAACTTTCTCCAACTCCTTGCCTTCCTGGCTGACTCTCAGGCTGGGAGAGACTGACTGCAAAGGAAGGCTT